GGAGCTAAGAAAATGTTTATCTCCCTGAGCCTGGCCTTCATAATTCCATTCCATCACAGACCCTTCTTCAAGATTACCACCCCTCTCGTTTCTCTTCAACATTCCCAAACAAAGAGCAGTTTTGCAGATGCCGTTAAGCAGTGGTTTGATTGTTGAATAAACCATAATTGTCTGGGCAATAAACTAAAAACCAAGATTTATATACCACCTTGCCTGGGCTCACAAGGCTCCTGAAGCTGAAACTAAGGGAGCCAAATATAGGAAGGTTAACATGATGTTGAATCCAGTCCATAAAAAAGAAGAAAAGGAAGTGCTGATGGACTTTGGTTTTTTTATTAGGGTGCTTATTCTTGTTGACATCTCCAAAACCAATTCCCTCTACATCTTTCATATCCAACATTCCCTACGACTATTACTGGAGGAGCAGATGTCGAGTAAGGACTTGTTCAACATCCTTGCGTAAGTAACTTGCGGGTTTTTTTTGTTTTGTTTTGTTTTGATATATAATTTTTATTAAAGAAATTTTAAGACAATAAAAATGATACAAATTTTTAATGAAGAAAATAAAGTAATTAAGTGGAAAAAAGTGTAAAGAAGGAAATAGAGAAGAAAAAGGAAAGAAAACGTTATAAAGAAGTGGCTTCCGATCTTCTTAACAGCAGCTACAAGTACATTTATATTTTACCCTCTCTGTCTAAGGTTACAACATAATGTCCTTCTTTCCATAGTCTGCCCTATCTAATCATCAGACCCATAAATCACAAGTTCATTTTTTTTCTTTTTTCAGCAAAACGTCCATAAGGGGTTTCCAATCGTTAATAAATGTAGCTATTGTCCTTTCTCTAATCAAACAAGTCAATTTTGCCATCTTCGCTAATTCTGTCATCTTCACCATCCATTCCTCCATTGTGGGTATTTCAGAGTCTTTCCATTTTTGTGTGTATAATAATCTCACAGCTGTTATTATATCTGAAAACAATCTTCCATAACTCTGTTCCAGTTGTCTACGCATTAGTCTCAACAAGAAAAGTTCTGATTTCAATGGAATATTAATCTTTACAATTCTTTGCATCACTGTGTGTATTTGAACCCAACATTTTTTGGCTCTTTTGTAAGTTCTGCCAGACATGATAAAATGACTTGCATAAGTAACTTTTGTGTAACAGTTGGAGCAACTCATAGAAAATAAGCCTGCCCCTTGGTCATCCTTAGTTCACAGACCCTCTGCATCCACTACAGATGATCCTCTACTAACCCTGAGATAATCCAAGAAATGCTGGCTTGGATCTCATGTGAGATAACCTCATCTGGTCCCCGTCTTCATGTTCTGTGAAGGAGCCAAGTCTGTTGGTCATTTCCTGCGAAAATATAACAAATTTGTCATGGGAAAGAGGAGATATTCTGTTCTGGTTTAGGTCCTGTTAAAGACCAGGAAGCAGCAAGTCACAGCAGACTGAATAACTGTTTTCTCTTGATTTTGCTGTCATGCAAAGCCATCCCTTCTTAATGGGTCTACTCATTTCTGCAAAACTTTGTATGCAGCTTGGACATGTTAGGGTAACCAATTTATTTTTCCAACAAGTATTGGGTGAGCATGGCCAATATTTGTTTATTCTACGTTCTTCTGCAGCTTTGGGAGTGATGTTAAGGCTTGGCAACCCGAAATGATCCCACCTCACCCAGATAACTTACAGAGTGCTTGGAGGTAAAGAACTATGCCTCTATTTTTTTCCACTTCCATAAAAATGAATGAGCAAAACCCGGAATGATTATATTCTTTGATTACAGTTGGGTACACCCAAGGGTTACCCATCTCACTAACTCAGAACATTTCTTGTTTGATTTTGGGTTGGCACATATGCACAGATCCATGTGTTATATAAACCCAGCCAATACTGGTATGTTCAGTAAATTATGGTTAAACAACCAGACAGAGTTAGGGTTAGGGATGATGGAAAGAAAGCCTGTCCACTCTGTCAGTGGTACTGAATGAAATAGTAATGTAGAAGCTAAAATGTGTCATTCCTGAATCTGGGTCAGCCAGAAGTGCAAAAGAAGGGATTATTTGACCAAGAGATTTCAGGTAGAATAGAATAGAATAGAATAGAATAGAATAGAATAGAATAGAATAGAATAGAATAGAATAGAATAGAATAGAATAGAATAGAATAGAATAGAATAGAATAGAATAGAATAGAATAGAATAGAATAGAATAGAATAGAATAGAATAGAATAGAATAGAATAGAATAGAATAGAATAGAATAGAATAGAATAGAATAGAATAGAATAGAATAGAATAGAATAGAATAGAATAGAATAGAATAGAATAGAATAGAAATCTTTATTGTCATTGTACTATGGTAGTGGAAATCCAAGTGTGAAATCTCTCAGATGGATCTCTTATTTCCCGGAAGTGATTCATATTTTTTCCCTCTTCCCTGCCTTCATTCGTTTATTTCTACAAAAATTTGGACAGAGCCCTCTTCAGAGACTCTAGAGGGTTGACAAGAGAAAGAAGGAGACCGTATTCAAAAAGTAACAGAAAGTAAAAAACTAATCTTAAAAAAAAAACCATAAAATGAAAAGCACAGCTCAAACCCTCTTTGGTGTTTCAATATTTTAGATAATAAAGTAGGTGCAAGAGCTAAAAAGTTGGGGGCCCCATGCAACTCGGGGAGAAGACTCTGCTCAACAGCACAAAGCCACCATCTTGACTTTTTCAACCCCTCTGGTGGAAGTCCCAATCTGTCACTTGAGCCATTGTGTATCAGCACAAGGTGTATGGAGTGTCACATGAGAACACCGCTGATACCTAGTCATTTTCTAGATGGGTGCTGAGCCTGCGCTGCGAAGGCACCAGAAATGTTATGAAGGCCCTTAAAAGAGCCGTGGAGGTGGATTTTAAAGAGAAAGACAGGCATGGATCTCAAAGCCTTTATCTGCTGGCAGCTGGAATCCCTGATCAGGAGGCGGTAAGTGGAATTCCGAAATCAGCTTATGCAACATGTACAGCTTCTGATTATAAATGCTGAACTTAATATGCCCCAGGTATTTGGGCTTGAAATAGAAGGGTGGGTTGCATTCCTCTGTTTTCATCAGCTGGTAGGTGTGAGTGATAATAGGATGAAGGTAATACCTTCTTGAAAATGACCTTAGCTCCTGGGTGATTTTGAGGACACATCTAAGTTGTTTTCTTGGCTCTAGTAAGGAAACTGGCCTGCCATTGCCTTCTTTCAGGAAAGTTTTCAAATTCCCAGTCTGTTCTTTTCCGCTGGCAGCTCTTGGTGGTGGTCTTCCATTTAAGCATTTGGTAGACCCAAGCTTGCCTTAGGGTCCAACCAAGACAAAGTTGGCCAGTTAGTACCAACGAGGACTAGGAAAACAATAGCATTGATCCTGAGCTGCAGTGAACAAAGTTCATACCATTTTACAGGACAAGATTTATATTTTGAATGTCTTTTGGCTGAGGACCACTCTCTCCATGGGTGCAACTGTTACTCTGAAGGTTGAGGTTGAGGTTGAGAAACACCACTCTAAAGGGGGAGGGGGATCATTGGCATCAAGTAGTTGAAGTCCACACATCTCAGAGCTTCCAAAGCTGAGAAACACTGCATTAGCCAAACTGTAAAAATCAAAAGAAATCCACTTCTTTCCCAAATACGTTGTCATTAAGGAGCAATCTGGAAATATTATGAAAATGTAAAAACCCGTCAATGCCACCTCACTGAAATTCAGCCATGTGATAAGGAAAGAGGCCTGCGGCCCTCTGTAACGCATTGGAGGGGCCATGTGCCTATCCCGTAGCCCTGATTTGCCCATCCTGCACCATGGTTGCAATTACTGTCTCCCTGTTTCTTATAAAACTTATTCTGATAATAATGTGAGGCCCTTGGAAGACCTTCAAGCAATGTATAAATGCTGTACAATTAAATTCATATCAAATTAGGCTTTAAATTGCGTTGGTTATTGACATTGTTTTTCAGCACCTAATCTCTTCTTACCTGGTTGAAGCCTGTGGGGGCTGCGATTTGCAACTACACGCTTGCCTCTTCAGTGTTAATGCTTATTCCCTCGAAGGTGACATTCCACCACGCTATGCAAGTCCAAATGAAACCGCTATTGCTTACAAAGAAATCGTTCAGGCCACCAAGGGCCGCTTTCATTGGTTTGGAGAAACAGGTGTGGTAGAATTTCAGTGTGTATTTTTAATGTACTTCCAGGTGCTATGTAGGAACTTCTCAAGTGGTCTCTTCTTAAGAACGTGGGCATCTCTTTAATCTTGCTGGGTTGGACTTTTGCTTCTTCAAGTGTTTATGTTCTGCATTCTGATTTAGGATTCTGAGGAGCTTTGAGTTTGGACTGTTTGGGAATTACCCATTTTTTTTCTGTGCTATATGAGTAAGTCAGATCTAAGTCCATGCTGAAACAGATGTGTCATCTAGGTCAGTACTACTTGAACCAGAAATGGACACAATGGTGAATTAGGTAATTTTGGCCACCAGATTTAATGTTCTTACATGATGATGGAATGGAATTACGATGGCCAAGCTCAGGGAGATAAACATTTTCTTAGCTCACCAGAACAGCGTGGGAGGGACAAGAGGATGAGACTGGCACTTCCCTGAGGAATTCACACTGTTGTGGCTGGGTGACTTTGGGAACTGCGGTT